GGTTTGGTGGCACCCTGTAGATTATTTGGAATGCGTCATCGTCAACTTGACGCCCGGTATCCGCAAGATGGGCTACGATTGCACTTGAAATGGTTTTCCTTGTGCCTGAACGCAGCCAGACCGGTTTGTGTTCCTTGATTCTTTGGGATAATTGCCTGGTCGTTCTGCCTACATACCTTGCCGAACATGAGCAAAGAAAAGAAAAGAATAGGTGATCACCTATGATAACCTCTTTGCTAATCGTTTTTCCTAACCGTGTTACGATCACATCCTCCCATCCCACCCTTTCCCAACCACATACCAGAAACAATCAGAAACCACGACTTACACACANATTTTGACTATATAACTGTATTAGCCTGAAGAAGAAGTTATCGAAAACGAGCTTGTTCGCTAAAACCACCGTGTTTTCTCTCCATACCGAGATGGGAATTTTCCATGAAGTACCAAATGATTTGTTACATATTCAAAGTAAATCTTCGATTTCTGCTTTTTCACATTAAATTATAGAGATAAACATGTATTTTTGCCGATAAATTAGTGTCGCATTAAAGGGAGGTAACTTACTCCAAAAACGAGAGCTACGAGTAAAAATGGTAAAGATTAGTTGCAACTTATATGATGTGATTCTGTCCAGATTACGGATATGACAGTTACCGCGAGACGCAACTCAACCCGGTCTTTTGAGTTAAATCACCCGGAAATTGCTTTCTTCTACCATCTTGGGAAACTATTAGGAGTTAATGGAAAGTTCAGGAAGCAGAATTTGCTCGTGTTATCGTCATCGAAAAATTCGGCTTTTCTAATTTTACAGAAAAGAAAAGAGTCATTTTCCTCTGTTCTTCCGAATGTTGATTATCATCTATTGTTCCTCAAAATCAGTTTTAAAATTAGTGATATGTCCAGCAAAATTACGTTAGAACACGTTCAACCTGTCGCCCGTGTTGATGTTTTCTTTTCTCCATATTTTCATCGTTTGTATGGCAAACATCCTTTGGGAAGAAAACTCGTCACTAGTGAGGCACACGAAAGATCTAATGACTTACTGTTCTGGACCGCGCAAATTGACGTCCGTAAGGGAAATACTGATACGTTCTTCTGTTGTTCCAATAAAATAATATGTACATGTGCTATTTACAGGATAGTTCCTCGGGAACCCAGGGCTGAAGAAACGACCACTTCTCGAGTGTGTATTCACTTTGGGATAGTTTTTGTCCGTGTGAAAAAAGGAGGCGGAATAAGTGTCGGGACTGAGAAACAATCGATCACAAGTAGATTGAGGAATCGGAGCTCCACCAGACAGGTACCATTCTGAAAGTGAAAGCAATGAGAAGATAGTGACACTATTCCGAAAAAGGTGCAGTTAGATGTAACCAATGATTTGCATTCGAAACTGTGATTTTTATCATGATCAAATAAAATGACATCATTCTCAAACAACGTATATGCCTTTGTTGACATGAGCAGGAATAGCATGCCTTAAATCAACTGAAATACGCGATTTGTAGTATTCAATAAGGGATTTAATTTAACATTCGCAAAGCCGTTTGTCGTGCGTAATCTGAAGGAATCCGATTGATTTCGCGCACATATTCTCAACGCCACATTGCATAAAGAGTCAAGACAATAGATGTCAGGTGCGGTGGAATGTATCAAAGATGTATGTGCCTTGTTCCATATTTAATCATTTAGAGGGTGCTTTCTTTGGAGATATTTCTGGAAAAGCTCGTTGAAGCCTGAAGTTACGTTGATAACATAAGGTTCATCTAGTGTGGCATGAAAGAGTCAATAACAAAAGACAAAGGCCGGAAGATTTAGACACTGGCTTGTCATTCATAGCCATCATCTCATAAATGATTATATAAAATGCGTAAAGCCATCACAATAATATACTATTGTTAACTTTGTGAATCTATTTGCATATATATGTCGGGAATTGTTTATTCACAATGTTCCTTACCATACATATCATGGAACATCTTCAGAGAAAAACCCAACGTTTGTAAATTACAATGTAAACAGTCGTTTTCTGTAATGTTGTGGGGCGACAAATAGAACCACTAAATAAGTCCAGTTAGTGTCAGTGTAGGTTTGAGCTAACTGATTTGAAAAGGTTAATATTAAAGTCTCCATACTTCCTATGGATTCTTATAATGGGGTGCGCATATAACATCTTGATTACACATTTATACACATAGATTCATGGATAGGTAGCCAACTGGGTCAATGAAAACATATTTAAGTAGAAACAGGGTTCCAAGACAAGGTCAAAAATGTAAATAATTACAACCTGGGTCGTCAGGTTGTGAAGACCTGAGGTATATTGATAAATAGGTTACGTGCGATAAATTTCTTTGTGAACCAACTTCAATCCACATGAAGTGACTCTAGGATACTAACCAATGTAATTTAAATAAATACTCAGCTTTTTCTTTGAAATTTACAACGGTTCAAAAGCTAACAATTGAACCTGTCACGAAAAACTCAACGGAACTCATTAATACAAATGGGTTGCTATAGCCTCGGGCTAACTTGGGAAACCTCACTTCCGTGTTTCTTCAAACCCTAACCGGAAATGCATAATCCTACCCGGTCACAGTTTCCTTCTTTCGCTTGTTCCTTACATTTTTCCAGGTCCTCGGTCAAACATCTCTCAACTGCTCCGCGCCCTATCTAACTCAAAGAGCAATAAATCAATACCCACACTTGTTTCATCCAAAACGTTCCTGGATTACACTTGACGGTTTGTATGTGTCATTGTATTAGTGGAAACAAGAATGTGAATAGGAAGCAGGTTTACAGCCCCAATTGAAAAAAATTCAAAAAATATCTTTTGCAACGTTTAGTGAGAATTAACTAAACCAGAGTGAACTAATTATGGAAACTTTTATTGTGTAAAAATAAAGTTACTCTTTGGAAAATCCATGGATGTCGTGACATCATGGAATGGAATGGAAACTGTGTGAAATTCACCTGCGTCTAGTGGTAAAATGGAAAACAGCTTAAAGAATGTATAGATTTGTCTATTGCGCCAAAAGTATGCTTACTCAAGAACGAGGTTAAAGGCAGCTCGATATATAAACATATATATATGTATATATCCGTGATTGATTCACCAGGTCGTGATTCACCGGACTCATGGGCTACATCTTCTGATCAATCACTTGCTTCAGGTTAACCTTGACAATTTAATTCCATATCACCTGTCGTCTCTGGTCAATGTCATGCATTTGTCAACGCACTACTGTGCTTTTAAAAACATAAGTGGTCACTAACTCGTATAATTGTTTGTTAGTTTAGGTTTCAAAATAAAATGAATCCAATGACAAAACAAATAATTCCAATAATTTTTTATAGAGTATTGCGTATGTCAAACAATTCAGCCTCTAATTCTAATCTGTCCACATAACCAGCTTGGAATTCCCACGGTTAGCGGATGCTCAGTAGCCTGCGCAGTCTGATCAACTGAATTACACAAACCCTAACACTGGGCATTCGGAATTGAACCTCTATAGCTTACGTAAATACATTGGGTGTTATCTACTAACAATTATGGCAAGTACCATTGAATCAGTCTTCCCTCGGCAGTAAGTTGAGAGCAGTAGTCA